GGAAAGGAGAAAGAGAAAGGAAAGAAGAAAGAAAGAAGAGAAAAAGAAGAAGAGAGAGCGAGAGAGAGATGAGAGAAGAAGAGAGAGATAAGAAAGAGAGAGAGAGAGAGAGAGAAAGAAAAAGAAAAAAGAAAAGAGAAAGAAAGACAGAAAGTAAGAGAGAGAGAGGGAAAGAGAGGAGAGAGAGAGAGAAGAGGGAGAGGAAAGAGAAGAGAAGAGAGAAGTAAAGAAGAAGGGAGAAAAAAAAGAGAAGAAAAGAGATAAGAAAGAGAGAAAAGAAAAGAGAGAGAGAGGAGGGAGAAGGAGGGAGAGAGATGAGAGGAGAGGAGAGAGAGAGAGAGAGAGAAGAAGAGAGAGGAGAGAGAGAGAGAAAGATGGAGAGAGAGAAAAGAGACGAGAGAGAAGAAAGAGAGAGAGAGAAGAGAGAGAGAGAGAGAGAGAAAGAGAGAGAGAGAAAAGAGAGAGAGAAGAGAGGAGGAGAGAAGAGAGAGAGAGAGAGAGAGAGAGAGAGAGAGAGAGAGAGAGAGAGAGAGAGAGGAGAGAGAGAGAGAAGAGAGTGTATGTGTGTGTGTGTGTGTGTGTGTGTTGTGTGTGGTGTGTGTGTGTGTGTGTGTTGTGTTGTTGTGTGTGTGTGTGTGTGTGTTTGTTGTGTGTGTGTGTGTGTGTGTGTGTGTGTAATTGAGTTGATTGTTGATGTCAGCTGTCCTATCCAAAATCAATGATATGATGAAATGCACTAAAATTCTTCAGCATGTCTTCATATTATGGGTATTTTATAGGCTGGCAAAATTTAATATATGGTTCTTCTGCTTACCAATATATATATAATATATATATATATATATATAATATATATATATATATATATTATATATATTATATACTATATATATATATATATATATATTTTTTTTTTTTTTTTTTTTTTTTTTTTTTTTTTTTTTTTATTAAACTTAAATATGCAAAAAACTTTATTACATGCCACTATTTTTGTTTTTATCATGTCTTTCTATTCTATAAGACTAATGGCATATCAAATGTATCATATTTATAACATACATAAAAAACCCAAGAAAGGACTAGATTCTTTGCCAAACTGATATAGAAAAGAAGTCAAGGACAACTAAACCAGTGGAAAAATTCTAAATACTATTCCCACTACTCATCCCACTATGAATATATTAATCTATATAACTATACTAACACAGAATTTTGAAAAACAATAAATGTATAAACAGAAAGAATAAGTTAGGAAAATCTGGAATGAGGCAACATCTTTATACCCCCCAACGCACCCCTCCCAACGTGAGGGGGTGAGCACACGGCCTCCAAAGACGTAAATTATTCGATTCTCCACATCCATCACCATTTGATGGTCAAATATAAGCCGGGGACCTCCAAGAGCAGCTGTGTCTTCTGTGATTTGTGTCCATTTGTTGTTTTCTATGTCATACATATAGAAGTCACTCTGGAAAAAAGAGAAAAGGTAGATAATGTTATTGTAATAATTATATCAAACCTATTACAAATTGCAGCATGAAAATAATGTCCTATAGAATCTACATCTTATCAAAAATATAACCTATTTATTATATATTTCTTTCTACAAAATTATATATATTATTTATATATATGATAATATTACATAACACTGCGGAACTTGGAAGGTGAGAAGGAATCAATAACTGTTCAGATTTAAGATGTGATTCTTTTAATAACTATTATTCCTCATTCATCTCCAAATCCCAATGATACCCAAATTAATTCTTCAGAGTTTGGAGATATCAATGTCAAATAAGAAAAAATTATCTCATGAGGACATCGTGAATGGTCTTGGATTAGCAGAGCTACAAAATTTAGAATGAGAATCACAAGGCAGTACCTCAGACCTCCACCTCTATTCTATAAATTGTGGAACAATTTCGTATAAATGATTGTGCTGATGTGTTATGATGATGAAGTAAAGAAAAAGGAGAAAGAAAGAAAAGAGAGAAAGTGTATATATATCCCAAAAGTTAGAGAGATTGATTAAAGACACTGATAAAAGTTTTTTTTTTATCTTATTATGTGTCATGCCTTTGCAGTCAAGTGACAAACAGCCAGAAATTAGAGTTACAATGAGGTAAAGAAAATAATAAAGGGAGAGGACTGGAAGGTAGTTGGGGTGTTGGGTGGGGGGATGTGTGGGGTTGAGCAATCCCATCAAACACCAAGAGATATGAGAATAGGACTGAGGCAAACAAGGAGGACTGACAATAACCCTCTCGGACATCTCATCAGTGATTTGTAACCTTGAGTAGATCTACCTTCTGTGCACTTAACAGCAGGATAGATCTTGCCCTGTTGGTCTTTTAGGATTATCTCAAGACACTGCAGTTCTTCAAACTCACCTTGATGCCGAACAGCAAAAAGTATTAAATTTTCATCTTTCACAACAAGGCCCACTTAGATTTTTCATCTCTGAACACTATATCATGTATGTCTCGTTCTAGTGAATCCTATAGTTATTGAGTATTGGAGTGTCAAAACTGAAAGAAGTTTGTATTTCTGTGGAAAATGGAGGGAGTAAGAGAGAGCATGAAAGAACAATTGAAACAAGCAATAAATCATGTACATTGATTATCTATATGCACAAATACTAAAAAGATACAAGTAAACAGCAAGATGAAGTTGTGAAATGTAGGGGTTATTGGGAAATGGTGCATATGTGTATAAAGAACCAAAACCGTTAGAATGTACTCATATGATTCATTTAGGGAAGCTAGATATATACGAGGCTAATGGAAGGGAGAAACTTGCCAAACAGTACCAGGGTTACTTCCTCGCACTTTGTATCTTCTAACTACATGAAGAGAACAGAATACAGCCTACTCATTTTGGAGAGGCTATGCTCAACTGAACCTGCTCAGACTTAATGCCAAATATCCAAATACATTCAGCTGAGCACTGTTGAATTTTAGTGGGTAATATTAACAAATAAGTTCATACAAATCTCCCCTCAGATAAAAGGAAAGGTTAAAAATATGTGTAATTAATATGAACTAGATGCCTCACTTACTTTTAAGTTTTCTGGAACTCGAAGAGCTGAGTCAAGATATCTTCCTAAGGTGAAAATCTGTCTACGTTCAGGATCCAAACACATCTTGTGACAGGAACGTGCACTTGGCCCTCCCTATTTGAAAGTAACACAAGGTAAAAATCCTTTTATCTGTCTGAACTTTTTTTCCACTTTTAAATATTTATCTTTTCATCTAAGGATAAAAAGAATTTGAACATGTCAGTTTAATACCAAAGCATACAACATAACTATAATGAATTTCAAAATAATTTTCTCTTACCTTTGCATGAGTATCGCGTGATATACAAGTCCATTCTTGTGACAACACTTGGTATGACCACAAGTCACTTAAATCCTGGTTGCCATCCCACCCACCAAACAAGTATATAGTCTACAAAAAATGAAGAAAAGAAAAACACAGTCAACAGATTTACAAATTTTTCTACCTCCTTATCAATCTTTTACAATATCACAAAAATCACTTATCATCACATTGTTTTTACAAAGCATTCACATAACTATAAATAACTTTAATATGAATAAGACTTTGCAACTAACAAATCCAGTGATGTGCTTACCTGAGTATTTGTGTCAATACACATTTGGTGACCACCTCTCATGCCAGGCTGCTGACGACTGCCAGTTGGGGATGGGATGATGGGTGTCCACTGTGGTTTATATTCTTGTTGGCTGATGTACTGTTGAAACAATCCATCTAGGAAAGGAAATCAAGACACTTTTAGATATTAATTATTTCATCGAACAGACATGATGGAAAAAACACTCTGAATACCACAAAATCTATCTTCAATCCCTCTGTGTTTGAGCATGATTTTACCTCGTGCTGCTTCGCTTATGA